AATAATAGACCTTAAAGATTAAGTTAAATATTAGTTTAATATTAAGGTAAAGATATATTATATAAATAATAAAAAGGCCTTAACTAAAGATATTAATTATCTTATTATTAATATAATATTAAAATAAATAGTTCTAGAAATAGTAGAGTAGAATAGCTATGCTAAATATATTAAAGAAGTAATATTAAAGATATTAAGAAGCTTATATATTAAAAATAATATATTATAAGATTTATAGCTAAAAATAATTAATTATAGGGTATAAATACTTAATAATATGCCTATATAGGATTAGGGGTAGAAAATCTTAAAATAATAGTTAAATAAGCTTATTAGTAGTATAATTATTATAGCTAAAAAAAATATAGTTAATATCTATCTATATAGCTCTTATATATATATATAATAATAAGATATATTATAAAAAGAAAAGATAAAATTATAAGCACTAGTTAAATACTTTATTAAATAATTAGTATTAAATATTATTTATATATAGAACTTAAGGAAATAGACTATATTTAGATATTATAACTTTATAATTAATAAAATAATTAAGTATAATTTAAATAATTTATTTATTAAGATTACTTTATAGATAATATTATCTAAACTATCTATAGATTTATTAATATTATTAATAAATAAGCTAATTAAAGCTAATAACCTTATAAGCACTAATAATAAGGATATATATTAAAGATTAGATGCCTAAGAGTAGGATGCCATTATATAAATAATTAAATAAAATATACTTAATATAGAACCCCTTAAGAAAGGCTATTATAGACCCTTTAAGAATAATAGTAATAAGTAGATAAACTATTAAGAAATAATAGCTATCTTATAGATAATAATACTAGAATAAATACTAATACTATAGATTATATATATAATAGTAGTAATATTAAATTTACTATAATAATTATAAATAATAATAAAATAATTAAATAAGTAGTTAAATAAATAATTATAAGGTACTTTAATAATAATATAAATATTAAGGATCTTATCTATAGATAAAGATTAAGAATTAGATAATATAGAGTACTATAAAATAAGACTAAGTCTAAATATTAAAAATATAATCTAGAGATAATAAACTTATAAAGCTTTAAGATAATATAAAGATAATAATAATTATATTATATAGAGACTAAATAGTATATATAATATATTTAATATATTAATTATAATAAAGCCTAAGGACCTAAAGGCTTTAAGTATAAATAAATAGCTATATTAAAGCTAGATGCCATCACCCCTAGATAACTAGAAGAAAATACTTAAGTATTAATATAAGGACTAGTTTATTAAGGTTATAATAGCTAAATATAATAGCCTATCTAAATATAAAATATTTTAAACTATTAAATAATTAAATAATACTATAATTATCTTACTCTAATAAGTGTTCACCTATAAATTTAATTTAGATAGTTACTTAATAAAGTTTAAAGTATAATTATATATATATAAAGACTTATAGCCCTTTTTAATATAAGAAATATAAGCTATAATACTTATAATATAAATATTCTAGATATTAATAGTATTAGTCACTATATTTAACCTAAAGATATACTAATATAATATAGTTAATATATTTATTAATAGCCTATTAAATAAGGTGATTTATATAGATATACCTTTTAGATTTATATAAGATAATAAAGCTCTCTTATTAATATAAACCTTATATAGACTATAAAGATTATTAAAGTTATAATAAAAAAATCTAGTTATAACTTTTAATATATTAAGATTAAAGTTATCTAAAGACCTCTACCTCTTTATAAATAATAAGCTTATTTTATTAATATATATTAATAACTTTATTCTTATCTACTTTAAAGAGGATAAAGTATATATAAATAAATTTAATAAAGTACTAAATAGTATTTATTAAATATATAAAATAAAACTTAAATAATTCCTTAATATATAGATTTATAGAGACTATATTAACTAAAAGCTTTAGCTATACTAAAATATTTATATTATAATAATTACTATAAAGTATAAGCTTTTAAATTATAAACTGCCGTAAACGCTGGCATTAGTTAATTATTTAATTAAAAATATAAAGATTATAATATAAAGCTAGATATAATATTATTAAAAATTATTAAGATTACTTATTTATATAATAATTATTATAAGAGTAGAATTAGCCTAGATTATAAATAAATTAGGAGAATTTTTATTAAATCTATTAGCTAAATATATTAAAGCTATAGAATAAGTAATTTTATATCTATATAAAATAAGATTCTTAGTTATTTATTATAGATATTTAATAGAGAGCCCTATAAATAATCTATTAGTTAACTAAATACTTATAGATTATCTAGTATTTATATATATAAGTAATATAGTATATATAAATAATAATAATTATAAAAGTATATAAGGATATATCTATATATTATATAAAGGACCTATAGATTAGAAGGTATTAAAGTAATAAATTATAATAATATTAACTATAAAGGCTAAATTAACTATAATCTTATATATAGGGAAGGAGCTATTCTAGTAAAAATAACTATTTATATTTATTAAATTTAATATAAAGTATTAGTTAAATATTTTATATAATAATAAATAGACTATTAACCTACTTATAAAAGAGGTGCTATTTATATATATTAAGCTTTAATATATTAATATCTAATAGTACTAGCTTTACTAGGAGACCTAGGCTAGAATAATATAGATTTAATAAATCTTAATAACTTATATACCTATAGATAGCTTTATAAAGATATTATTAAGCCTATAATATTAAAGATTTATTAAGATACTTAGTATAGAGGATATTAAGATAATAAAGATAATAATAAAGTTAGGATAATACTAGAGGGGTATATTATAGAAAAGAATAATCTTAAGGCTACTAATTAGAATAATTTATATATATTTATACTGTCACCTAACTAGTTAAGCTAAATATAGTTAGTATTATACTCTGATTTTTTATTTACTAGGTATATCTGGCCTAATAAACGTCAGATAGGCCTAAGCGTGCGAATCATATAGGAATATAATACTATTTGGCCCTGAATACGTATAGGATTTGTTAAAGATCCTTACATATAGGCACCCACCATGGCGGAACATAATAAATCCAGTCCATGGTGGCGGGTGGCCTGTACCCATTCGACGCCGACTATGCCCACCATTTACTTATAACACTGCCCCCTTAGTTAAATGGACCTTGCGATTCCTCACCGCGCACATATATTCCCAGTCATCCTGGTTTAGTTACCTCTATCAATATATGTTGGTGCATTAGAGATGTCATCTCCTAGCAGTGCCGGCGTCCTCCAGACACATCAATCCATCAAGAATAATGCAATCTTGATCCGAGATGAAATATACGGAGAGGAACTGATCCATGAGCCAGTTCTGATAGAGCTTCTTCAAAGCCCGGAGGTGCAGCGACTGCAAGGCATCTGCCAGCATGGAGTCACTGGATTCTTGGGCCTGACACCGCGAGTCACACGGCTCGAACACTCGGTCGGTGCATTGATCCTTGTGCGAAGAGTTGGTGCTACCATTGAAGAACAAGTTGCTGCTCTTCTCCATGACATCTCTCATACCACCCTCAGTCACGTCATCGATCACGCCCTCTCCAAGCCTGGGGAAGGAAGCTATCATGAGGTACACAAGACACGGTATCTTGAGATGACGCGGCTGCCGGACATCCTCACCAGACATGGGATCAACCAGAAGGTTTTCGAAGAGGAACTGTTTCCTTTAGTGGAGATGCCATCGCCTCAACTGTGTGCTGATCGCCTGGACTATGCTTTACGCGACGCTGTCAGCTTCGGCAAGCTTGCCATGGAAGACGCCAGAAGGGTTGTCAGCTTACTGAAGGCGTTCCCCAGTGCTACAGCGACCCGCCGTCTGCTGGCTCTGGACGATCCCCATGTAGCGCTGGTTCTTTCTCGCGCATACATCGCTACCGACAAAGGTGTCTGGTCAAGTCCAGCCCACATCGACATGTATCAGCGGACGGGCCGGGTGATACGTGAACTAGTAGAGGCAGGGTCCGTGGATGATAAGGTGTTGTGGCAAGTCTCCGACGCAGAATTTTGGACTCTGCTTCGTCAATCAGCAAATCCTGAGCAGCTTCACGCTATCAAGAGACTGGAAGAAGAAGGGATTCCAGAGGACAACGGACTCCGACTGCCACATTGCGCTAAGATTCGCACTCTTGATCCAGACATTTGGCAAGGAGGAGAAAAGCAACCCGCACCGTTGTCCATAGTGTTGCCAACGTGGGGATCAGAGCGAGAGCAGTACATTCTCAGTCGTAGTCAGAATCAATGATGGCTATTGCATCGTAGATAGCTATGGCCATCTATAGGCATTGATACAGAGTCTACAATTCAAACATATAACAACCTAGAACCCTAAACCCTAAACCCTAATATTCTCCATAAAGCTATATACTCTAGTAATCCTATTAACAGGTAACACTGTCAAGAATAGAGACCATCATTCCTAGTGAGCTTCCGGGTGCCCTTGCCGGCACCGCCATACCCAGAGGGGTACACGTATCATCAGGCCAAGCTATATATTATAAGAAGCTAAACACAGTCTCTTCATGCCCTTCCATTGAAAATTTCTTCTATTTAGAAAGATACCCTAATAATAACAGTACTATAGGTAGTCAGTAGTTATTCGGAGTTGAAATGTCTCCCACTATATGTCTACTTTGGTTGATATAGCCTATAAAGTGTATTCCTGATTAAGTCCTAGATTATATAATTAATAGAGCTGCTGGGGTAGCCTCTTCAACCCCAGGTATTAGTATAACTTTCATAATTTGATAATTACCAACAATGGCTAAAGGGCTTTGTGTTTCAGGAAGGATCAAACTTTCTTTACCTTTACTATGATAGAAATTTCCTGGATTCTAACCCCAGGTAAAAGGGTTAGATAGCATAAAAGCCTCTTAGGAAAAAGACTGAATGGAATGGATAGACTTTCCCTGAAGATCTCATATTAAAGTATTAGAGCCATTGTGGTACATTAGGGAATATAGGCTATGAAGCTCTCTACCTAGCAAAATAAGAGACAAACTATCCATCTACACATGGGCTATTATGGAAGCTCCCTGGGATTATCATCAGAGGCCAACTCCGCAGGCACTATTGCATGTTTATTCCTTGATGAGGGTAACTCCACAGGCCCTGGCAGCCCTTCATGCAACTCCGCCGGGGGAGGTTGAGTATGGGAGACAGAGGAGAGTTTCAAGTGCCTCGCCCGGCGTCGCCTTAGCCAGAAGACCACAGTGGCCAGTATGATCCCAGCGATTGGACCAATCACTGCGCCTGCAATCCATGATTTATTTGATTTACCTGCCGGGCCAGCTGTTGGAATGGGAGATGTGGTTGCTGTCACACTGGGTCTTGTCGCACTTGGTGTTGTCACACCGGGGGTTGTTGAGATAGTCGAGCTTGCTGTTGATACTACTGTGTCTCTTAATGTTAGATCATTACTAAAAAAGTAATGAATATAAATATATTTATACTGACATTCAGTGGTGAAAAGCACCTCCAGCTCTTGGTAGATAGTAAACGCCTGCCAGTTATTCCGGCAGTCAATGTTCGTCGCGGTGGGCGTACCGTCAGGGGAGGTCTGGAAGATGGTCATGGACACGCATGAACACACAGAATCGTCACTGTTTTCTCTGGTATGAGTGGTTCTGGGCTAAAATCCTATATATTCAGTAGAGGTACTAGTAACGAACTAGGTTATTGATGATCCATTATCATAATAGAGGACATTGCCTATGCACTCGGTCGCAAAGATGCAGTCGTTGGATGCTGTTGTGCTACAATCGCCTGCATATGTCCCTGATGTCGCCCAGGCAGCGCCCGCAGTGAGGACCTGCGCTATATAGGAGATCAGTCATGATCATAGGATTGAATGCTAGGCATACTGCTTGAGGGAGCGATGTAGTATCCGATGAAATTTGAAGCGGCATCACTTGTCCAACGCGTCTCGACCGTTTCTGCCATAGCGATAGTGTTATTACCAAGAGGAAAAGGGAGGGGAAGGACGACTCTGGACTACATATATGTAGTAGATAAATCCCAGCTCACCAAGGAAAAAGGGGCGCAGGTCACTAGATGCATGAATACGAGGTGTTGGACAAATAACTATCAAGTTCTGGCTCAGGCTAGTTTTAATTGGTCACAAGTCCTACAATACGTACCAGATAATCTATCTAGATAAGATAGTTGATGGGTTTGGTGAATACTTATATATATATATGTCAAATATGGAGATCCTCTTTATATTATTATATATCTTGTATGTTATTCACCCACTATTCATCTCTTAGCAGGGCGTAACCCTATTGGAAGGCATATATTGCGAGCTTGGTTTGACCCCCAGAGTTACGTGGTTGGTCAGTTGAATATATTCCTGTATTTGGCTCTGTACAGGAGTATCCCTGCCTCTTTTAGCTGAAAATGGTATAGGTATGTTGCTGCTTTGGATCACCCCGAATCCTGATTCCTTGACCCTATTTATTATTGAGCCACTTCAGAGCAGGCAGTTTTCCCCACGACTATAGGCATGGTTTTTCAGTACCAGTACTTTATAGATACCGATGAGTAAGGTTCCCTGTCAGCTGCCTCGGATCTCGGCACAGGTCCATCACAAGTTCTAGAATATAATTGGTTTAGGTCAGGCGAGATCATAGATAGTAGATAAATGTTGTGATCGCCCTAAACCATTAAAATGATATACCAGGGGCATGCCGCCCCCCGGACCTCTAGGGTTACTGAGGTACATTACTACAGAGTCAAGCAGGTAGTCTACTCTTTATCTCTCACTATAGGTACTTAATTAAATTCTTATTCAAATACTAGTACTTATTGAGATAGGTTGATCTATCTTAGCAGTCCCTCATCTGGTTATTTTCATTTAGACGCCGCCAACAGAATTCATTCATCATTTTGGGTTCATCATATAACCTGCATTACGAGTAAGCCTTGGATAGATTTCTATGAGATATACAACGGCTTAGCCCTCTGTATCTAGACTTTTTCAAAACACCACGCGAAGAGATTCCTCAGGTATCACATAATCATTATGTTTATATATATTGAGTAGATATTTAATACCTACTCTCTAACTGCTAAACATCAACTGACTGATGCTCAAACTGACCAAATACTCATCCGTGGCCTTGGAGGTCTCCCCAAACAGTAGGTATGAGGTATGACCATCCCCATTTCGCGTTGCAAGCAGTGCACCCGGAATCTGTGCCTTTAGCCCATTCGCCCAGACAATCGAGGTCTCTGGATCATACATGGCATTCACCAGCAGAGTCGGGATAGAGGCATTGATGCTCGCGTAGTGAGGGGGGTTTCGCACGGGAGCCGTCCATCCCACACATCCCACCTCGGTCCAAGTCTGCGAGGCGCCCTGCGTGTGAGGCGAAATGGCCTTACCCATGATCTGCTTGTCGGCAAGATCTATGAATGATGTATCCGTGTAGTGTGTCCAGTCCTGGCAGAGCACGGCTTGTCCGGCGAACCGGGTATCGTCGATCTCACTCGTCGACAGGGAGGAAGACAGCGTCGAGGCATCGCCGTGTAGGGTTTGGTTTAGGGCTTCGGCCAGTCCAGCCCAGCCAATGTTTCCAATTATGGAGATCGGCTCTTTGAAAGTGAGGAAGTCCTGAACATTAAACCGCAACTCTTCACCAGTGACGTTCACCCGACAGGTTTCCGAGACAACACAGTCCGGTGCAGGGATAGGCGTGATATCTGCAGTTCTCACTAAATCATCGAATACAGACAAGACATCTGAACCATGTAAAGCACAGGTAGCGTTCACAGCACACCAGTTGGCAAACCGCTCCAATTCCCTCTCGTATGTGCTTGATTCCGTCAACATGTTCGATGATTCTGCCTGTGAATGATCAACATTACCATCCAACACCATAGCTCGAATCGTGTCCGGAAAGAGTTCGGCATGGGCGACGGCCATCTGTGACCCGTAAGATTGTCCAAACCAGGAGATCTGTTCCCCGCCCAGAGCCTGCCGGACGGCCTCCATATCTCTTGCAACCGAGGCAGTGTCCATATATTCGAAGAGAGGACCGGTCAGGTTTGAACAACTCTCCGACAGACGTCTGTTATAATCGACGAGAGTGGCAAATTCCGCCTCTGTAGAAGGGAAGAAAGTAACCCGCTCGTTGGCAATAATAGGATCACAGCGTATAGGGTCACTGGTCCCGACACCACGGGGATCCACGCCGACAAGATCAAAATGCTGCAGTAACGTGTCGCTGAACAGATGATACCCCTGAGCCGTGGCGTTGATGAACTCGGTCGCCACACCCCCAGGACCTCCAGGGTTGTAGAACAGCGGACCGATGCGCGAGGAGGTATTTGAAGCAGGCAGTCTTTGCAGACGGATAGTGGTACGAGGGCCTGACAGATCATCCCAGTTGATGGGGACGGAGAGAGAAGCACATTCCAGTCGTGGGGTCAGCGAAGAACTGCAGTTGGACCAGGAGATGGCGGATGCCGTGGCAAAGGGCAAGAATAGATAGACGGATAGATGCATGATAGATAGAATAGATAGAGATGAAGAAGAGATGAAGAATAATAGACAATGGATGACACTAGAAAGCTTTTATATGTGGTATAGCTATCGGAAGTTGACCGAGTATTGATGGGCTGAATATATGGCTGTGTTTCTTGGCGTAATCATCTAGTAAACAGTAGGTAATGCTCATATAATTGGCCATAGAACAATAATACTGTGGATAATGACAATGACAATATTGGTCTACCTACATTTACATATATGTCGGTGTATCAGTTATTCTTTAGAATAAGTTAAGAGACTGTATTTCTAGGATAGTATGTGCTAGAATGAAATAATAACGCAGAGTACAGAGAAAATTGATGAAGGGTTCAGGATTCAGGATTCAGGACCTAATGGTAAGGCTGAATGGATTGGCACTAGCTCTAGCCATAAGCAGCAAAGATGTTCGAAGCTATCCTAGTAAAGGCAGCACTGACCCTTAGTACTGCTATTAGGCAGTTACATTTCGCTTGCAAAAGAGCACTAAAATGGAAAAGAATGACATTCTTATTTAGAGGCCCAGGCATCTATGAATTATGGATATTACGGGGTATCCGGTAGGCACCCGGTTACTCTGCTATATTCCTACCGGATCCTTTTAGTCCTATATTCTACGCGATGCTGATCAATTACTTCAATTGCATATTAATTCTATATTGAGTCTTTGATTCCTGTATTAAGTAGTTGAAGATAGTCTTAACCCTCTATTGCTTCTACAAAATATAACTCCAGTATTGAGCTCCATCCATGATATGTATGTTGAATAATCGGAAAAAAGAATAATCGACCGAGTGTCTATGAATAGTTTATATAATGGTATCTGGATGAAGGATTTATCATGGGAAGGGCTGGAAGCAGGTTCTCAGGTGTTAGTTAATTACCACCCAATATTAAGAGGAGGCTAGACATCATGTACGCAGCCTATCCAAAGAAACATACAATATGGGTGAGTAGACCTCTAGATATGGCCTTAAGGGCGGACAAAATGGTTTCCCTGCTGACGGTGAGAGGGCAGTGAAAACATCAGGGTTCCTCTTGCTAATAATAGAGAATGCTAGCTGCCAAGTTAATGTTATTTAGTTGCTGAAAAGGAAGAGGGAAGAAAATGACCAAAAAAAACAAGAAGGAAAGGAAGAAAGAAGGAAGAAGTGATTTGGTTTAATTTGAGGGAAAGAGGACCTGTGGGGATCAAGTCAGCTGCGTATAAGGCTGTTGAAATAAAACCTGGCGGTTACATACGCGAATTATATTGCAAGCCTTGTTAGAAACAGCCTTGCCTATAGCCACCCGATCAGAGAGCAAACTGTTGCCTACTCAATCAGAGGGAATGCTAACTGCTTATTCCGAGAGCCTTCGTCCTCATCAATCGGGCACTGCAGGCGATTTATAGTTATCTTATCATTATCAATAACTGATTTTCCCAGGAATGGCCATGTCATACTATTCTATATTTCTGGATGGAGATGGCCAGCTTTCTGGGAGACCTAAATACCAAAGTCTACTTTAGTTTCCAGCGTGGTGATATATATGGTTATGATTTTATGAGCCGCTATGGCTTATGCTATGATAGATAGATATGTTAGAGTAAACACTAAAGACTCTAATCTCAAAAGTATATAATATACTTTAACACATAACAAAATGATCTGACCAGTACTCTACTCTTATCTGGGTAGCACAGTAAACCAAGAAAGAAGAATATTTAAGTGAGATATGCGGATATTCAACTGGGATCACAGCTCATGAGCCCCAGCCTATACGTCTGCCGAGAGCGTTGGTAAATTCGATTATTGGGTATCCATAGCTTATACTTGAGTCTGAGTTGCTTTCTTAGAGATTATTTCAATATATATATAACTATGGAAAGTGAGGACACCTTAGCTTCGGGTATATATAGAATGATATTAGGTATGTAGTACTAGAAAGTACCTACTACTAGTTATAACAAACTCACAGTTATGATATAACGCTGAAAAGAGAATAACATTATTCTATTCAAATGGCATCTTAAGCTCCTTCTTGATGCGGTCGTAATTTTTCAAAAACCTCACTAATGCAATCCAGTTTCCCCAGGTGGCTCCCTGCCAGATCTCTCGGATTGACCTCAACTTTTCTTTGCCTTGGTTGAGATAGCCTCCCAGGTTTCTGGAAAAGCTCATCAGCCAGAGTTTGCGGGACACAGATGATTTGTAGCAAGTCATCCACAAGGTCACAGCAGCCAACAGTATCTCGGTGGCTGCGACTGCTGACACTACTACCCTGTCCTGATGTGGTCCGGGTGACTGGCTCCCAATTTCAAGGGTGAACAATACCTGGGAAGCAGGCAGAATGATAGAACAGATGCAAAATCCCACAATCTGACAAGTCCTCCCACTGGTCTCCCATGTATAGATTGGCCTCCTCTTCTTGTCCTTCTTGTGTTTGCCGAAGATCCTGATAAAATACTTCAGAAAGAATGCAGTGATCAAATGTCCATCCGCCCACATGATCCACGGTAACATCAAGGAGAAGGAAATAGTCAAACAAAACAGCCCCCCTATAGTCCCGTAAATGTCACGGAAGAAGAAAGTCATTCTGGCCACAGCGAGCAGAGAATGAACCAGGTTCATAGTGTTGGGGAAGAAGCTGCGATTGTTGAGTAAAGCAATTTGGTTAATGGAGAAGACACGCTTAGATAAGGGGGCTGAAAAGTAGATGACATTAGCATGCTGTAGAGATTAAATCTGGAGGTGGCATCCTTACTATATAGTATAGTTATTTATGTCTGATTACTAAAGAGAGTATGAAGTTGGTCTACATCAAGGTAGGAAATGTAGTCAGTATTCTTGCTGGATAGAAGATTTGATATCTTTTGCGCAGACTCTTTTTTCTCCACTAGTATAGAAATGAAAGAACAGTATGTGGCTTTGATGTTGACTCTAGGATCCCGCCGTAACCACTTCCTTAAGGTATAATTATTAGAACTAGACAATTTCTCATGGAGGCAATATCCTGGACATGAAGGGTTCCCTTCTAAGGCCCGGGCATAGCCATTAATTATTAAGATTAAACATAGCTTGTTCTGTTCAGATGGTGGAGCGTGAACATAAACTAAAAAAATAAGATCACTAATTGTGAAATGCAGCCAGGAGACTTTAGGCCTTAGCACAGGGATTGTGATCACTAAGAGGAAGTCATTATAGAGACTCCTTTTTGGGCGCAGCATGAAGGTGACCTGGTCGCTATTTGCAGAAACCTGCCTTAATAAGAGCCGCTTATTGAGGTATAAGATGTCAGTGGCAGCCTCATAGCGAGCATCCTCTGGGATCCAGGGGTCCGGTCTGTGACTGTTGTCTGGACTGCACGGTGTGAACAGGAGCGACAAGGGAATGGCATCCAAGCTCCAGACAATCGCCTTGAGCCGTTCGCCAGCGTTGATCTCCAGCAGCGCATAAGATGGGATTTGCAATGCTATGACGAAGATGACCATTCGGTCCTCGGGTTTGGCACATGATCTGCGAAGCAATTCATTCCACGTGGCGATGAATGGCTTACCATTCTTGAGAGGGAAATAGCGCAGCTTCCTGTTCATCAGAACAGCCATGTTGAGAAAGTTCCTAATCTGGAGTCTTATCACTTTGAAATCCTTCTCGGGTGTCGCGAGTGGGCTTGAAGACCCAGTATTCGTTGATCAGTCGCTGGAGATCATAACAGATCCAGCGATCAATGAATGCCGGCATGACTTCCCTCCCAAACCTGTCAATATCAGATGCAGCCGTTATATCCTCCAGGGTCCACCGATCCGGTCTGCGGATAAAGGAGCTCCAGTCTCGTTCATTTATCACCATATCCTGCGGATCAAGGAAGCCATTCAAAAGCTTGATGTTGCATCGCGCACCCTGGCTGGCTTCTTGATATGTCCATGCCCTTGAGGCCCAATTGCTGCCGTAGAATAGTGCTAGGATCTCAGGGATGGGCGTGATATCAGGGCGTAGGCGTTGCATTTCTTTATCGAGAATCATGATTTGCATGGCTCCTGCAAATACGGCCGCTATTTGACCTATGGCAGTATGCCGCACGGCATCAGGATCAGCCCCATTGGCTCGTATGGCATTTTTTGTAGGGATACAGAGCACGTCAAGCCAGAAGGAACAGTATGGATCCCTCCTTGTGAAGATGCCTGGGATAGTGCGCGGGATTCGAGTCGCCGTTCGGTTCAATGAGAGATGGGACATGTTCTCGCCGCGATGGTTTGGCAGCTGTGAAATCCCATCAATGATATTCTGCAGTTGACATTCGTAAATCTCACTCTCGGAACCAATGCCCATCCCGTCGGACCAGACATGCGAGACGGCAATATATCGTGTCTCCACGGTGGCCTTGACGATCTTCAGGTCTACTTTGCCGTCTTCTGTTCGTCGGAACTGGACCAGCGGAATGAGCCCTTCCTCCAGTATGGCGATAACAGCTTTGGTGTGCTCCCGCATACTTCGAATTCCAGCACAGGCACATCCCTCTGAGATGTGTTGTGGTTTGTCTATAATCACCTTCGGTGGCTGATTCGCCTTGCAGACTCGCCGTGTGCAGTCTTTATGATCCAGTCCGCCGGGGTTTGGACGCTGGATGTCCGACATATAGTAGAGAGTCAAGTACCCCAGGTTGCTCCCTGCACTATCGATCACTGAAGGGCACCATCCATGACTCAGGAGGCGATTGATAATGATCCTCAACGAGGGTGCCATGTCGTCAAAGGTGTTGGATTGCGGATTTTCGAGTTGTGCAAAAGCCTTCCAGGGCAGTTTATTTTGCCAGAATACCATTTCATATTCGATTGTGACCGGGCTCATCCCAGTCAAAGAAAAATAGGATACATCAAAGTGTGCCTGCATGATAACATGCAGCGTGTCACAGAGGATCAGCGTTGAGAGGGCGATCACTGGCACGGGGCTCTTCTGGGTGTTCTGGAGTCTCTCGATCGTCAAGACTTTGTCCCGCACCTTGGCCGCCAGATGTGCGAGTTTGCGGACAAATTTATTTGTTTCAACCTCCAGAAGGGAGGATTTGACAAAGTTCCATTCACTCCTTCCTCCGCCAATACCGACTTTAAATAAGTCTTTCATGGAGACGAACCGATTGGCATTCTCATGCTCCTGTTTCACCCAGTCCTCGAGTCGAGGGGTCGCCATTCCAACTTCGGCTAACAACCCGAAGAACAGCTGTGACTGAATATACGACGCGATTTCGTGGGGAGACGATCCATCATCGAGGGGTGGAGTCTCCAAGGACTTTTGGAGATCCCCAGGTTGGGGGATCACGTAGGGCGTAAAATTGAGAAGAGGAACTTTGACTGGTTCGGTTCAGCACAAGCCGGAGCGTCGCTGATGCATGAGGTCCATTGTGGGTATTGAATATTACTCAATATAAGAGGTGAAAACTATGTAGAGAATGGTGTAGTGATTATACATAATTACCACCTAGAGCACTGGATCGATATATAAGCAGTCTTGAATTCAAATATGGACGGTACTTTCAGCCTCGGCGCGTACATGAAAAGAATGAGCCAGTTGATCAACACTATTCTGGTCGGCGTTTAGCCTGCATATTGCACCTTCTGAATCAAACAAACATCCTTGAGTTATCAGGCTGAGACAACGATGTGAGGCTGAGACGGGGAGGACAGGCGGGAGAAAGTGCCGTCCAGGCGGTTGGTCCCTCCTTCCTATTAAGGGTAGCTCCCTTGTGACCTAGCCTAGCCAGGCTTAGCGCCACTGTGTGTACAGCACTATATCTAAGGTTTCTAATTAGTCTCTTCTCTTACTCTCACCTCATATCTATACTCATTATAATAAACAACTCTATTATAAGCTAATATACCTTAATAATTATCACAAATACTTTTTAATAACTAATAGATAAGGTGAATGAACCCTTAGTTACAGAATTTTCTAAACTAGTCATCATGAAAAAAAGGAGGATACATCCATTGAAGCAGATACTATTTAAAATAAATATTAGGGTTGAAATATCTATTTGTCTACCTTAAAATACGAGAACATGATGAGGCTGAAACTCCTCTACGCGCCAAGGCTGTTATTTATCCGCCCTCATCTTATGGCCATCAAATACCTTCTAAGTACCTATGGAGCTCTGTATAGTACATTGAAAAATATAATTATATGACTTGTTCACTTTCCATGAGAAAAACAAAATACAGCAGTAAATCTGGGTATAGGCTAAAGATAAAGAGCATTGGTGGCGCATGACCAGTCATAATACTAGGGGCATGTCCCCTATGACTTGCGCTATGAATAGTTTCCCCTGACTGACTGGTGGGTGTGTTGAGAGTACTCCGTATACAGCACGACTATGAATCAGGTTACATGTCTAGGGAATGGGCTGTGGGGGGCCTCTTTTTGATGTGGAGGCGAGGATGGAAGATTTCAAGGAGGCTCATTAAAAGCCATTTAGTATGGAATTGCTTGGGGTCACTAAGAGAGTAGCATATATTATATATATACTATGCTCTAATAGCATCCTTCTCTCCACTCTTGATACTATCCAGAAATTCCTCTGCTGCCACTGGATCATCAAATAAATGCTCCACCACCATTCGACGTGGCGTCTCCCCCATCCACTGCAAGAGTGAAAAGTCCCGAAACTGATCTGCACGGAAGATCTCCAGCATCTCAACTTCCTCTTCATTATCGAGATTCTCCACGAAATGGCCCATTCCCTTAGGAACAATCCCCACATCACCTGCCATATAGTCGAATGTGCGTGCATTCCCCTCCGCGCCGAATACAGTCACTCGCGCCCGTCCGGAGATAAAATACGACCATTCGTCTGCGTCCGGATGCCAGTGCATTTCTCGCAGGGCACCAGGTTGGATCCGTACATGCGCAGCCGCAACAGTCTTGCTAATCGGAAAGTTTTGCGAATCTGTGATGCGTACCTCGCCGCCTGAACTGCGCTGGGGTTCTTGACTGAGCATATGGTGTGTGAATTGGAGAGAGGAGGGGTGAAAGTTGACTGGACGTTCTTCGTCAATCGCCCCGGGTAGAGAGCCTTGAAAGATATATTTATCTTCAGGGGGGATGTTGAATATGTCTGGGTTGACATGGAAATTTTCCCCCAGCACAGCCTTTGGCGTATGCACTACAATCAGTAATCAGTGAAAGTCTAGGCTGAATAGGTAAAGATCAAGATACTTACGCAGCCAATCATTCAATAGAAAGGTCGATTCATCCGAGAAATCCCCGTCGTCAAGTATCAAGAGAAACTCGGTTCCGTGCGGGCCGAGCCCTTGCAGGGAATGTGGGTACCCCGCGGGGAAGTACCACAGATCTCCCGCATGGAGATCATCAATAGCACTCCCCCCATCAGGGTCTAGTGCTGTCACCCGTACATCTCCATTGAGAACATATGCCCATTCAGCTTGTTTGTGCCAGTGTAACTCGCGGATAACACCTGCTCCGAGCCGCATGTTCACACCTGCCAGCTCGACACTGGTCCCAAGCTCTTTGTCGGTCGTCTGGCGGGTCCATCCGCCTTCGTTGATCCGTATGTGGGAATCGGCAAAGCTCCATCGCATGTTTGGGAGAGAACCCTGATCGGTACTGGGTGGACGGATCAAATCTGGGTTTTCTCGCTGACGGGATGGATTCTGGGGGCCCAGAATGTCGTTTCCCTCGCCATTGCGCCAGGGAAGGGGGTTTAAATCATTTCCGATAGAGTCAATTTTCCCGTCTGTCGCGTCGCGAAAGTCGGGGGTGTAGGGATTATTGAGCAATGGTGTAGAAAATGCCCTGCAGGCCAGGAGCAATGTCAGTGGAAACATTATAAGATAGAGTTAATAGTAGTATAGAAATAGAATAAGATCCCTAGCTTATAATATAGATGACGTTTCCGCATCCGGTGAGGTGCTGCATTCATTGAATCAAGAATGCCTTATCCTTTTCCGGTGTCACCTACCCTGCTGTTCTAGCTACATGTTAGGTGGACCATTGCAGAGCAATGGTTTAATCCAAGTAATAAGTTTAACTTGAAGATATTAATATAGGTTAGGTATTAAACTTAATATAGGGAGGAATACTATCACTATTTACTCATTATCTATATATACAATATATATTTAAGTGTGAATATTGATTTAGATATATAGTATGCACCTAAATATATAGTATTCATGTAAATAAGGAAGTAATTGAATAATACTTATAGGCTTATAGACTGCTGCTTCGCGCTGTGTAGTCAGTGTAAATCTAATAGGGATGTGCGGCGATTGTTTCTAATGAATCGGCGAGGCTGAAACAAAAGAGGATGGCGACTTTAGCCTGTGGATATCCCTGATCATGTATTAGTGGATAGGGATTCTTCCTCTGCCTTCTGCCTGCTACTTGATAAAAAAGATAAGCCGCGTCAATCCTATTGATTTTATTCACTAGAAAATAGTGTCCACCTGAGTGACAGTATTATTAAACATGATGAGGTTCAGCAACACTGCCAGCTATTAACCCTGACACTGGCCATCACAGGTGATTTTCTTGCAATGTCTACCCGACACATCACAGTCGATTGTGGTTGTGTCGCCCTTCGTGGCCACACCATAATACATAAACGTTTTCTCGGTCTGCACAATCTCGATCTCCGCAACCCCCCCACGCCGGTAGCATTTGGCCAGGATAGCTTCTTTGGTCTCAGTACACTTATCCCGGGCCCCGGCTCCTATGTAATAGCCCGCCTCAGCAATTGTGACAGCGAAAAACGCCTCGCAGAGCTGTTCCAGGTCGGCACCACACTCGATCTTGCTGAGGACGACGCCGATCAGACTCGCGCCAGCAGCGGTGGTCGCCTCTATGTAGGCGCAGGTCACTTCCCACACCCACCTCTCCGAAGCGTATGATAAGAGGCGGTACTCATCCTCAGGGGGATCAGCGCATTCGATGATTTTGATCTTCTCAGTGTATCCCCGTTCCTCAAGGGAGCTGGTGTCTGAGGAAGAAGTCCAGTCGGTCCCATTAGGCGTTATACCATGCAGCCAGGCGAGCTCGTCTGTGGAGTTGGCGAAGACGAGAGCACTCACATGGGCCTCGGACCCAAAGACGTCGTCAGGCAGGTTGAATGTGCCACCCATGATATCGTACATGCGTTGAGCATCGCTGGAAGAGCCGCCCTGCACTATGATTGTGTCGGCAGTTGAAACATTGGTAGAGAGACCGAGGGCCATGTCGGCCAGAGCTAAGAGGGAGAGAAGAAGCATGATGGACGAGAGAGGAGGTGGTTGATATGCTGGATACTATTCTAGCGACTGTAGATGGTCTTTATATAGCTAGCACTCGACTCAGAAGGTTACATTCTACAGGATTAAACTAGATCAAGCTACATCTTCATTACCAAGACGGTGATAGCTTTTTTTACTTAGTAGATCTAGTGTTAGATGCGGTATTTCTGCATCCTTGCTCACGCTAGTTCCTGAACCTAGTGTACAGTCTAGAGCCGTTGCACACTCCAACCTTTATACTAGAGAGCGACAGCGAGGTCTCGACGATTATGCGATACCTGCTTTCAACAACTTGATCAATGCTATCAATCCAGGTAGTAGTAATAGAAGCTCATCGTCAATCATGCCATCTCCTATCCTCTTCATATGCGAGAAACAATTTACTAGTCTACAGCAGGGTAAACCCTGACTTCTGGACTGGCCAATCAGATTAGGTCTCTTAGATTCAGTGCCAATTGACACTCTAGGCCCGTATTTCTTAGATTTGCGCACTGTAGTATATTATTTATTATATATTTGGCTAGACCAATATCAAAGAAGCAGGACAGTATGCCTCGGATTCAGAGACCTTAATATGGAATATGCTGATTACTTAGCTTGGTTATGTACAATCCTGCGAAACTTAGTTAACTACTGGTTGATCTTCAGCCCCTGCACGTCTCTGTTTCTGCAATGCTGATTAGCTTAAATAGAGCTTTAGTTATCTTGACTTCATAGATGGACCTGAGGTGGGTGGGTACATAAGCACTAAATCAATCACCCCTAATAATTATGTGGCAGGGAAATCAGGATTTCTGGCTCAGCCAATTAGTAAGGCTCGGTCAGTTCAACAAGCGGAGAGAAGACAGGCATTACTAGTATACTCCTTACAAATATGCTGATTATTGGGCTGATTGTGTATTGGATTCGCAAAAAAATGCACAAGTAGTTGGGTAGACTATTGCCCCTTACTAGGTGGATCCTCTATGGAGAGGCTAAATGCTTGAATACTTGGCGAGTGCTTAGTGAATGTCTAGTCACTGCTAAGCAGGTACTTACTTAGTTCTACATCTCCATTGTTCAGAGTCCAAAATACCTCTTATCACAGGATTTCAAATACTGTATTATTCACACTACGCACTAGGTACTTGATAGTAATACTCGACTAGACTTGCTACTGGCTTGAGCTAGCCCCGCCGATATTTTCACTAACCCTATAGGTATTGTATTTGGAATCCTTACCCTTGATCATGAAATTAAGGATTTCGGTGGCTACATCTATCGTCTCCTCCTTTTTGATTTCTCTTGGCGGTGGAATTGAAGCCGGGACTAGACGTGATGAGGGTTACGGAAACACCATGCTGGAGAGCGTCCCTCAGATACACGATGGTCAGGTCTTTGGTCGCATTGCCCTTGCCCAGAAGGAGCTTATTTCAAGATAGGGATTAATTAGCATCGACAGATAAAGCTTACAGGTCTGAAGGGTGGATAGCACATAGTAGTATATCAAAAGCTGGAGTATATTTTACTCTCCAAGTAGGTGTAAGGATTATGGCACTATATAATAAATGATAAATAATCATTTCTACTGATATGCCTTCATAATAATGCCCTGCAGGTTCTACGCGACCTACCCTCATCCTTTCTTTTATTAGGTATGATGGAGACGTTAAGTGTAATGGCTATTATATATAGGCTTAGAACCTCTTCTCTGGTAGTGCCTAAGAGGAAAGAATAGCAGCAGATATAGAAGCAGTATATTTAATAGATAAGAACCCAGAATGGATCCTTTACCATTCATCTGCCTGCCTCAGAGCTCCCTATGCCTTCCTAGAAGTATAACAGCTAGCATCACCCCATCTAACCAAGTATTCACCCTTCTGTATAGTATTAATTTAGGTGACTAGTCCAGGAGAAAACGGATGAAAATAGCCGCCCATCCCATTTTCTGTCTAGAATTGGAGACGTGGACGGCTCCCGAGGCACTCACTGGCTGACTTCGTTCTTCTGGAACGGACATGGCCTATTCAGCCGTCCTGGCCATATGACAGCCAGAATTGCCGTCGCGGCTTAGATCCTACACTCATCTCACGCGCAGATTAACATTAATGATTATGATGATGGTCCTGCACTAGAAGGATATCTAATACATGCTTGGTGCTGGTGGGATCTCCTGGGATAACAGCTTGACCCGAGGGAATGATAATTGGATTACATATCACTGCTCTAAAGAGGTTTTGGAGCCTGGAGAATACCTTGGAGATCTCTTATCTTATATATCAGGGTCTAGTAGATTTCACCGAAAAACATTATAGAGGGCCAAAGGAGTGTTACTTGTAGGTGTAATTATCCCTTATCCTGCTATTGATGATCCCTTCTATGTTCCTGCAGTGAAAAAACTGTTGTATTAGTCTAGTATTAGGGGAGGACTAGTGACAGCATCACCATTTATGATAGTGTATATGTCAACCCCTTCTTCTTCCCGCTGGAATTTAAATTTGCTATCTGTGACTATCTAGATGTTACCAGCGGACAGAACATGCTGCTTGCATTTGGCGCGTCTCTGCCTGTTTACTACTGGCTGCGCTGTATCCCCACTAGACTGGTTCGATCAGCCTACGGGTTTTGAGTCGAGTCCGATTTAAACCCGCTGTGGGGCGGAGCGGGCCGGATGTTTATTGGGTGGCTCGCTTGAACTCCATTTAGAAACTTCAACCCCCCGTGGGTCATGGGGTGAGGCGGGTCTTACCCGTGGGTAAAATAAAAAACAGTATTGTAAGTGTAACAGCATTTTATCATTATTATAATTATAGAGCATATTTTATGGTATATTAGTCAATGATATTCAATATCTCAACCCAATTCAGGTCACCTGTATTGGTTAGTAGAGTAATTTGCAGAGCTTCGCTTTGCAACACTAATAAGATTCACTCAAAATTGTAATCTTGATTCTGATTGGTAGTTAAGCTCTAATCTTATTGATTAGCCTCATATAGCCTCCTATTGGCCCATTTAAGAAAACATCACATGACTATCCATATCTGGAGATTAGGGCTTTGGATTAGGGTACTGTGATCATGCGTGTTGATTCCACGTTGATTCCTGCCCCAATTACCTATTGATTGCTACGTCGATTTCTAGGGGATTCCCTAGTTGATATCCTGTCCGGTTTATTTGTCAATTTCTCCATGATTCATAGGGCTATATTATATCTTGGGTACTTAATTAATTCCTTATTTTCTGCGACCTCAGGGCCGTCGGTCCGAAGTGGCTGCCAGCAGCTTAAGCCATCCAATTGGGCATTAATCGAGCATATAATTGATAATTTGACTGAGAATCCGGTAAGGTCAGGCCACCTGTGTTGCTTTGCAATGACTTACGACGAAGACGTGACTCCCCTGCGAAGCCTAAGCAAGCCTGGGGACCCGGGGGTGACGGGCCTCTGTTATAATTATATAGCATATTATATAGTACTTGATGCTTCCACCTAAGTTAGGTCATGTCTTGGTTGGGATGGTAATGATAGTGTATAGTTATTTTAGTTAGATTGATATTGAATTGACCCGAGCAACTCATCTATAGAGAAATATTCTTTGAAACAAAATAGTCTATTGATTGAAATGATGATTGAAAGTGATAGAGTGAAAAAGTAGCAGGAGAAGAAATATCGTGGAAGCCCTGACCATCCTTTAACCTAATAAATTACATAATCTAGATCCAGATATTGCTAGGCAGCAGGCGGAAGACTCCTGGCCGTTCCTAGTATTTAACTCCCATTATATTCCATGTATTAGTTTTATTACATTTATTATTATATTTACTATCTAAGATGTCCCTTCTTTCTCTCCCCCTCGAACTGCGCGAACTCATTATAGAACTGGCTCTTTTCACCTCTCAACCCCCCCTTGCGCCCTCCAAATGTAATCGAAGCGACCTGAACGACATTAAATACCGCGCCTGGCGGCACCGAACATACTATGAGCAGTCGCCTGTGTCCTGTCCGTCTCTGCTGCTGGTGAATCGGCATCTTGCCGTCGAGACACAGTCAATCCTCACTCGCCAACCGACGCAATACATCCTCAACATTGCCATCGTCAATGAAGTCGACCTCTTCCCGACCTGGGTATCGGTGCCGCGGCTCAACACGCGCATTTCGACACTATACGCCGATATCCAACTGCACGGACATATCCTCTCCAAACCCGACGCCCGCGCCCAGGTCGGCTGCGGCGGCCATCTCGGCTTCCAGTGGAGTTTTTATGCCTTGCTGGAACGCTTCTTACAGTACGGTCCGCTGGGCGACCAGGGGCCGGATCCTTCGTGCCCTCGCGACATCACGATCGACACTTTGATTCTAGATTTTTCCTCGGCAGAAACATCACTCCCTGCTCCACCGGCGGAGGTCGATTATAGACGGTGGTGGAGACGGCAGCATTTCCTGGACCGTGGGCGCAGGTCTGAGCAGACGGAGGATGTCCTGGTGCAATACCGTGCAAGACCAGAATGGATGGCGGAATATCTTGCCAAAGAAATGACGGGATTGTTGAATATGGGATATTACCATGCGAAATACGGGATGATCCTGTATGAACAGATCGGCAGGATTCAGATACTGGTTGAGGGACAACTGGTCAAGGCGATGGATTTGGGGAAGAGTTTGAAGGAGCTGCACTTTCACGATGCACAGGAGACACTTGGTCATCTATGGCCGAGAGAGCTGCGAGTGCCAGCTTTCAAGGAGTGGCTGAGGAAGACAAAAAAGAGAAGGACAGATGATTGGATGATTGATATTTAAGTAGAATACCCATAACAGATAACGACTTCAATGAAATCAACACCGAAAGTGCTCATGTGTGATAATAATTGTAACTACACTATATCCCCAGCCAAGGCCATCATGCGTTGCAGAGTGTAATGATATCATCTGGCACAAAAGGCTGCAGAATGGCAATCAAGTCCGCCAAAGATACCCACTCGAGCATTCCATGGGTAGTCTGCAGTGGATGTCCGCTGTACAGCACGCGACTGAACAGGTCATCCTCTGTTTTCCAAATCTCAAAGGCAATGTTAGACCCCATTCCCGGCCAGCGCAGAGCCTTGATACCCAGTGCTCCCAGAACAGGACCAATATCTCCGTCATGGATAAAGTTATGGCTGTACTGCAGCGTCTGCTCTCCCTTGCTGTCTGCCACGGCTTGCAGTCGATTGACAATCTCCCCGATGAACAAGCCCTCGAGCAGAGTGATGTAACTTGTCGCATTGGCGCTCGCCCGATACCAGTAATCCCACATCCAGTCGCCTGCACGGAAGATCTCTTCGGCCTGAGCCTGCGTGACACATTCGGACAGATTCGCCCGGCTGCAGGGCAGCTCGTAGCCATTACACAGGCGCGCCTGGAAGTTGTCGGAGAAGTGGTCGTAGGTCGACATCCAGGCGCTGGTGTTGGCGTCAAACATGGTAGCCAGGTCATCGCGCAGGGATGCCGTGGCCGCCAGATGAGCTTCCCACTCGTCTGACGCCTCGATCGCGTCTAGAACCGTGTCCTCGGCGGCACACGAGTAGCCCTCATTGACGGTGTCCACGCTCGCCGCCTGCTGGTGCAGCGGGACAGCACCGCTGTAATGCGGCCACAGCCCGCGCAGGACCCCCCCGGCTGAGTCCTGTGTCAGCGCCGACGAGCTGCTGCGGAACCAGACGCGGCGGCCGTCTTCAGGCGTGCGTGGCAGGAATCCCAGCCGGTCGCCGTACACAGCCCACAGGTCGCGGCCGTGCTGGTAGCCGTCTAGCAGACCCCCGATTGTCAGCTGCGGGTACTGGCAGGTACCGTTTACATAGTCGTCTAGGAATGGGTTCGCTGGGTCGCTGTAGGTCTTCGCGTAGACACGCAGTGGTTGCTGCGCAGTGGAACTGGCAGGTCCTGCATAGAGATACGGGAGGATATCATCGCAGTGATATTCCTCGTTCTGCTTGGCCATTAGTTAACCATCCTTCTTCATTCAATCAGCAGGGTCTTACCTCTCCTCCTGGAAGGATGTTGTATGGTGTCCGTCGCTGGTGGCGCTGCAGATACTCGAGATATACCAGCTGCGCCTTGACGGAGCCATTCTGGACAGGCGCCGGAAGTACGTACTCCTGTGCCCGGGGATGAGGCATAGAGCAGTAGTCATAGGCGCCATAGGGAGAGGGTTCACTCGCTGCGCTGGCAGGGGCGCTGTACAGGCCGCCGTATGTGCCCAGCGACCCGTTGGTGATCCAGGATAAGTCCTCAATGTTGGGCGGGTAGAATGAGTCTACAGCCGAGACGGCGTAGGCAGGGGCCGCAAGGGCCAGCAGGGGAAGAATCATCATGTAAATACCGCGGATGTTATCCAGGATGAGGAGAAATGCCTGGTTTTTGTGCCTCTTTATATGTTATTTAGAAGTGGAATGCGTGGCTTGTTCTGGATGTTTGATTCGTCACGTCCACCACGTGGTCGACATGGTTGTTTTTAGTCCAATGATAATGCATCTTGAGATTTCTAGTCTGGCTAAAAAGTATGATTGGATGGTTTAAGCATTGTTATCAGCGACTTGAGTATTAAGAAATGAATTATTTAAAAAAGTGCTAGTGCTAATTACATAGGCATATATACTAGGCCCAGGTTATGAACCAAGCACGTACGAAAATAATGATACAATTGACTTGAGAGCTTCCACCCGAGTAATGGTTATAGTCGAAACAGCCTCAAGGTGTTTATCACTATTGCATCAAGTGTCGAAAATATGATTACCTCAACTAGTATAGTATTGTTGAGATTAATCACCTCTCAATCTAAAGGCTCATGGAAAAATATATAATGGTTTATATAATAAGTCTTACTTGATACTGTAATAATAGGGTTTAGATTTTTAGCATGGCATCACCGCCACCTGTCATGCACCAAATCCTACAGATCAACAGAAATACACCCATACATTCCACTATACTCATTAGCTGGCCTTTAACCCATGGTAGTATAAGGATTTAGAGTATAGACACATCATGCCCAGTCTTTCATATTCTAGATCTTAGAGAAATTTCAATTGTATCCTGATTTATAAAATCATCCATGGCATCTTTCCTCTCTTCTTCCAGACTCGGCGATACCTGCTTCCATTGCTCCATGTCAAATGCAGCCTCAAAGTCAAGAAAGGACATTTCACAGATAATCCACTGCTGGGGTTGAGATTTGCGTTGCGAAACTTGATAGAACTCCGAGGTAATGTCAAAACAGATCAGGCGGATGTCTGTATTCAAGCCGTGGTTAGTAACTCAATCATGTACATGGGTCTCACTGTCATCTTACAGCATTTGATACCCTCATTATATTCATATCTCTGCGTGATCACGGTTTTTGTTTCGCCCAAAGACCCGTTTCCGCTGGCAGACCGGGTGATTGCTGTTAATAAGGGCTCCAGGCCTATTGATGCTGTCAGGCTGAATGGGATGAATCCGCTGGCTATCTCGGAAAGGAGCCGGTAGTGGAATTCATTGGCTTCACATTCGATTCTGACATGACTTTCTGTCTTGGACGTCTTACTCAGCCTAAACATTGATCAGTCCATAGCTTTTCATATATCAAGACTATCACAGCCCTACCACGGCGTCCCTGTCATATCCTGATAAGCTATACGGGCCAGCGCCGTAGTCTGACTCCTCTTGACCTCCTCATTGTTTCCGGGGGGAATAAGATCAAAGACCTCTTCCCACCAGTTGACGCTCGCCCACGACAGATAGTCCAGCACATTCTGCTGATAATCCTGTAGCTGGGCTCGATGCTCATCAGAAATGGACACCTCAAAGTTGACGTACCAGATGGAGGGGAATTCTTTCCAGATTGACTTGGCGCTTGCCACAATTCCAATAGGAATCAAACCTCTGGTTGCCAGGTCTTTCCTTCCACGCTGTAGATGTTTCTCGCGGGGAAGATCGGGGGCTCGCGTGATGAACCCCGTGTCTGGAGTCCCTTTTGGTGCATGGACACCCTCATTCAAATCATCTGCCATGTCGAGCTCTTGCCAACAACTGAGACTTGATGTGCAGTGGGGGAAGAGTGGTTTGGTTAGGGAAGACGAGTGTATCAGTTCTTCTGGGTCCGTTAATGTGAGGGAAGTGAAAGGACGAATTCATCTCCGGATGACGATAAGTAGGCATGGCTGCGTGTCAACTCCGATTCTCCTAAACAGGCCTAAAGGTAAATGGCCGTTTAGAAGGCCGATATTCGGCATGTGGCGGACACAGCCCATCTGTCTTTGCTCTAGATCTCTCAACCTTAGACTGATGCTAGGGTCATGTCTGCAAGGAGCTCCACTATCACGACTGTCGTATGAGGCATGTTAGGATGGTTAAGGCAGGTGTAACCGCACTGCATGGTTCAGCCAAAGTATCCTCTCCATTTCAACATGATGGTTAAGCGTCCTTTCGCATTTCCAAGGCGAGTAATTTTCAACTCGCTTCTTTCGCTGATGGTCTAGATCTCTCTGCGGGGCATTGCAGATCTGATCGATCATCTCTGTTGGCTGGTGTCTAGTTCCATGCCAGGATTATCAGGTACAAACAAGGATTATTTGCTCTGGCTAGCTGAGGTACAGCCCAGTCAAGGCCAGCCAAAGTACGGCCCATCTGAGGTTCGTCCGAGTCGGCCGAGTCAAGGCTCGGCCCGCCGCGGGACACCAGCCACGTAGGTCAAATCATCCAATTAGCTCAAGGGAGTGTCTGAGGGTCAGTCACCTCTAACTGTTCCAAAGCCATGAACGCTTCTCCAGCAAATAACAGGAAGAGGTCATACCCCTGGGTAGTGTCCAGGGCATCGCCTGACCATGGAGTGTGGAGAAGATGCAGCACACGAGGTGATGATGAATATGAGGGCAGGGATGTACGGATTATGCAGTATCCGACTATCTTTACACGTTCTTTTATGTAATGATCAGGGACCAAGTACGGATGTGGTCTTGCTAGAAGAGTAGACATCTTTAGGAGAAATCCTCTTTTCTCTTCAAGGCAGACTGCCTGTATGGCACTTTTCTAGAGTTCTGGTTTACTATAGTTGACTTAGGCCTATGTATTTTTATATACGTAATATTCAGTCAGCAATGAACTGCGCATCTTTCATTGAATTATTTTACGCAACAACAACTAGACAGAGCATTCAATACAAGCACCTCAGCTCAAGGAAAGGAAAGGAACAAAAATATCAGCCGACTTCTGCTGGGTCAAACGCTTGCCAAGGGAAATCAGTTCTGGATCCACCTTGCTCCTGAAATCATCAAAGTCAGACTTATTAAGAATACTGTCTTTTGTTTCATTCTGCAGTTCCACCGTCGATAAGTCTTCAGAGGGCTCAAACTTCAATAGAAACCCGCGAATGCCTATTGTTTATTTGTATTAGTTCTGTTAAACCATAAGGAGAAGGAAAGAAGCAAATACCAGGCTTTTCTCTTTGATTATAATCAAGTGTGACGACTTGGACCCAAAAGTACTTGGGGACCTTGAGACTCCGGGTTTGGCTGATGATTTCCGCAATGGCGTTGGAGACTGTTTCCAGTCTATCCGAGACTCCTTCACGTGGGGTAGAACTCGTCAGGCTCTTCTGAACGGCATCTTTGGCAGAGGCTTTCAGGGTATAGTAATCTTCATCATCCTTGAAACTAATACTCGTGAAGCCGACCGAGTTTACAGCCAGCCTTTAAGATATACAAGAATGTGTTAGATTCAACGAGACAGCCAGGTAGGGGGCGGTATAATACGTACCATGGGGAAGACTTGAACTGGGCATCGAAAAGCCTCGTGCGATAGGTATTGCGCGTCAAGGCAGACTCCAATGATGTATCGTCTGGAAGCGCTCCTTCTTTGACTTTCTGCTGAACAGTCGCTTCAGTTCTAGTGGACCAGTAGTAGACAGTGGCATTGAAGGCAGCAGCCAGGTCGGCAAGATCCGACGTTTTGTCCTGGTCGATTAGGGTTAGGAAGAAGACTGATTGAATGTCATTGTCTTTAAGAGCCTGCTCGACCGCCTCCCTAGTGGTTTGGTCTGCCCTGGCGTTGATGCTGAACAGCTCGACGGGAGTCTGAAGCGCGGTGAAGTGTGGCATTTTGAGAAACACAAGAATTGGATGCCAAGGGTGATGTTGATGAAGGGATGACTGCGGGAGTCTGTGTCAATATAAACGGGAGATCTCGGTTACTCAAGAGTTGTTTTGCAATTTATAAGTTTGTTTGTAATTTTCAACTTGACCCCTGGGCAACCCGAATTGAGGGATTTTTAATCCTTGTTGTCAATATGCAACAATCTGTAGATGCATGCGTTTACTTGACATGGATCGATGTCTATACAAGGGTGGGCTCAGCTTTGAAAGATCTTCCTAGAGACATTGGACGACAAGGAGGCCAGATCTCAATAGCTGTATGAGAGAGTATAGATAGAGGCTGTTTACATAATTCCTTATTTGCTCCCATTAGCTAATAGGAAGGTATAAAGGCTGGTCCCTTACCAGCATCACTTTCTTTCTCATTCACAGAGCCCATTCTTCCCTCGGCAGCTTTGCACTTCAAGAGAAATCTCCCATCCAGTACCAAGTGAAGCAATGGCTGGCAGCACTTTCACATTTGAAAAACCCATTGTGATCGCGCCTCCTCAATGGAGGGACAGCGTTCCTTTTGCCGACCCGATTGTCCCCGGGCAAACATTAGAGAAAGCCCAGAGGGACAGCGAGATAGCTTCGTCTGTCACATATTCCAACTTTCCAGTTGATATTCCCGCGGAAGTCCGCGAACAGTTGCGAACATACCAACGCGAAATCCTAGACTACCGCTCCTGGGCGAGTTTGATCTGGTGGAATACGGTACTGACTCACCCCTCGATTCCCCAGGACACCTCCAAGGAATCTACCATCTATCGGGTGAGCAAAGTGGCAGAGGCAGGCCAAAAGCATATGGCGGCAACACCCTGGTTTGTGTTCCTGGAAGATGAAATTATATATGATCTCATGGGATGCTGATGCAGACAAAGGCTCGCGATTTCAGAGGCTGGAATTCAAACAAAGAGTTTCGATGTCTCTGTAAAGGAATTCCATGCGGTTCTGATTCAGTCCATCCTTGAAGGCTTCGTTTCCATTCCAGAATCTGGATTTCAAATTCTGGAAAAGATCCTCAACAGCATTGTCTCGGCCATTGAGGCCAAGTCCGAGGTGGAAGAGGATCTGGCCCAGTTCCATGTGTCTGAACGCTACGAGTATGATCCAATTGTCAATGATATTCGTTCCTGTAAGCCTATGCCTGTTACTTACTACATGGTTTGCCCAGCTGTACTGACACCCTCTAGTCATCCGGACCTGTCTTTTCCTCGTCACATACGAAACGGTGGAGTTCAATACCAAGAAGAGACATGAAGAGTATATCAAACTCACCATTTCATACCAAGAGTACAACTATGCCTTCAACATGAAGGACTGGGCATACGCAGCCACAGGGATTGAAGAATGGAAAAAGAATGAGATGGATGACTTTATTGGGAACGAAACCGTCGACCTTGACCTTTAATTAGGGTTAGGGTTAGGGTTAGTAGGATGATATTCAGGCTATGATTACTGTAGCTGTACTATTCTTGATTCATTGTATTTTCTACATCAACTCTATGCGTTCAGTCCAAGTTGATATGGATCGACTTGAGATGCGAATAAGCCTCCAGCGCCGCCTGCCCAAGTTCTCGGCCAATCCCGCTTTGCTTGACCCCCCCAAATGGCACTCTATAGTCACTTGGCTGGTTGAAATTGATCCAAACCATCCCGGTCTTGATCTTGCCCGCGACTCGGTGTGCCCGGGCGATGTCTCGAGTGCAGAGCGCCGCCGCCAGCCCGTATTCACTATTGTTAGCCATGCGGATCACCTCTTTCTCCTCGCGGAAGGGAACCAGGACTCCCACAGGCCCAAAGATCTCCTCGCGATACACGCTCATCTCCTCGGTCACATTTCCGATGATTGTCGGCGCAACGAAGAAGCCCTTATTGTCCGGACGGGCAGCAGGAATGTCACCCCCCGTCAGGATCGTGGCGCCCTCTGAACGGGCAGCCTCGGTATACGCGAGGATCTTCTCATGTTGGGCCTTTGACACTTGCGGGCCATGGAAGGTGTTTGCGTCAAAGGGGTCGCCGACAATGCTGGTTTTGGCGATGTAGGCCAGGAACTTGTGCAGAAAGACGTCGTAGATCTCTTCGTGCACAAAGATACGCGATGTGGCTGTACAGATCTGGCCCATGTTGCCCATGATGCCGTAGTGCGCCCACTTGACGGCATTCTCAATCTCAGCGTCTGCAAAGAGGATCAGCGGGCTCTTGCCGCCAGTCTCCAGCGTGAGGTCTTTCAATGTCGCGCTCGCCATCTTCATGATCTGCCGCCCAGTCGCGGTACTGCCTGTGAACGCGACCTTGTCGACTTCGGGGTGCTGAACGAGCGCAGCGCCTGCTTCATAGCCGTAGCCATTGATGATATTCACCACGCCGGGGGGGAAGCCTGCCTCGACGACCAGGTTGGCCAAATAAAGCACCGATAGGGGAGTCTGTTCTGCAGCTTTAAGGACGACCGTATTGCCACACGCGATGGCTGGACCGATCTTCCAGCCCGCCATTGCCAGCGGGTAGTTCCATCTACATCATCAGCAAAAGCCTCTTTTTTTTTCCCCCCCTGATTGCCATTACTCACGGAATGATCTGCCCGCAAACTCCCTTTGGCTCACGGACTGTATAAGTCACTTTGGTCCGCGATGTTTCCATGGTCTGGCCGTAGTGTTTATCAGCCCACCCGGCGTAGTACCGCAGCACGCCGGAGGCTTCGTCCACGTCGCCCAGGGCGCTGGAGTACGGCTTGCCGTTGTCCATGGCCTCGATGGTCGCCAGCACGTTCTTTTCCCGGTCGATCAGCTCGGCGAGTCTCCAGAGCAGGGCGCCTCGGGCGGTGCCCACGATGCTCTGCCAGGCGTCGCCTTCAAAGGCAGTGCGTGCTGCCTGCACAGCGACATCCACGTCGTCCGTTGTGGCCGCGTAAACAGAGACAATCTCTGCCTCGGTTCTGCCATCATCTTAGCAGAAATCACGAAAGAAGGGGAGAGACCTACGCGGGATTGATCGAGGCAAATGTCTGGCCGTTGGATGATTTCACCCACTGGTTGTTGATGAACAGACCGGTGGGCTGGATGTATACAACCCCATTGGGGGCAGTAATCTCTTGTTCAAGCATCATGAATAGTTTAGATTGATTTAGAATTCAAAACTTTCAGATTAAAGGTTTAAATATTTTGATGGCTTCCAAGTTCTATATACATTCTGTATACGCTTACCTTTTTGCTTGAGTGGAGATGCCCCGCTGTCCTGAAGCGGTAATCCTATACGTGATAAGCAGTAGGCCATGGATAGAGTACTGGTCATAACTACTAGGTACTCTGCAGTTATGATATTTCCTATCTCGCTATTAGAGTGCTGATATACTACATTTGTTGTATACTATGGCTCTAGAATTACCTAGGTGATTAAGAGGCTGCAGTATACTAGGGTTAGGCATTAAATTTCATACCATTATAATATATTAAGACTAGTATTGTTCATCTAGATATATAACTAAGCGTTATTTCAATACTTAGGATTCTAATTCAAATAGCTAGCTGATTTAAGTAGTATAAATATTAGCTAAACCCTGTGCACAGTAGGAATGGGTATGTGTATAGCTAAATAGTTAAACATCATAACCTCAGATTGATTATCAGCCTCTAGATTCTACTGCTCACCGAGTCGATGGTTAACCCCTGAAATCCTTAGACTAAGTTATCTTCTACTATAGCACGGCCTCTAGAATTCAATGTAATATATTGCATTATACTTATACTTAAGCTATTTATATATTAAAAAAATGCTAATCAAGTATAGCAATTAGATTGATGGATATGGAGCGTATCTATTGATGACTACCACGGAGATATGACAAATTGAATCCTAGATTCTAGATAGGACTATCTCAGGCCTGTGGAGACCCCCGCATCGCCTCGACTTTCTCCAGCTTCTTTTCTCTCATCATCACTATTCTTTCTATTCATCTATGCCGGCCCGCAATTTCCACTCCAAGTCCCGCGATGGGTGTCTACGCTGCAAGGCGAACCGAGTATGCAATCTTCTATCTATTTGAGTGTATATCGCTAATGTCAGGTCAAATGCGACGAGCAAAAACCTGCCTGCCTGCGGTGCCAGGACCGTAAACTGCCCTGCCCCGGGTATCGTCACCACAGCCTACGATGGCTCGCCAAACACCAACAGGGCATCGATCGCCACGTTTGCACTCCTGCCAGCCCGAGATCGACGTCTACAGAGCCGGTGTTTGTCTTTGAACTGATGCCAGCTCCCAGTCAGACGGTGGACAGCGATGGCCATGACCAGCCCATCGACGACTTTCTCTGCGATCCCGAGCTCTCCTTGTCGGACTGGGTGGAATGGCCAGGAGCTGAGCCAGACACAGACGCGATAGAAACACAGCCCGAGGCAGCGTCAGAACCCCCGACAGCAGCAGCAGCAGCAGCAACATTGGAGCTCTCGACAAGCCTCTGTCATCAACCGTCGGCGCTGTGCGAATACTTCTTCAAGGAGGTCATCACCCTCTACTGCGCGTGGGACAGCCACGCCAACGCGATGCGGATCATGGCCGAGGCCTTCTGGCAGCATTCCGTGGCACTATACCACACCATCCAGAGCATGGGCGCCGCCTGTCTGGCCACGACGTTCCCTCATCTCGCCGCCGTCGCGGTGCAGGAGCGTGCGCAGGCCATTCGCCTGCTCCAGACGCACTCATCCGGACAGGAAGACCGTCTGCTGGCCGCCTGGCTGCTCGGGCATACAGCGTCGTGGCACGAGCCGCAGGACCTGGCTGTCGAGCTGTTCCGCGAGAACTGCCTGATTGTGCGCGACTCTGCCGCCAACGGACGCCTGCACGGGGCCAGTGTTCCGTTCTTCGAGGAGGCCATCGACTACTGGGCGATGCTGCTGGCCTTCTTCACCAAGGATCACAGCCAGAACCCGTTGCGGACGGCCGAGCCGGCTTCATCGCCCTCCTCCTCATCCCCTGAATCCAGCCTGCCGCACCCGTGGACGGGCATCTCGCGGCTGACGGTGCGGATGTTGACAGAGGTCGGGCAGCTCGTCTTCCGCCATCGCTCACGGATGCTCTCTCGCTCGGGCTTCCTCACCGAGACGGACATGGACGCCTTCCGTGAAGCTCTACGGACCGGGCGGGCTCTCGAGAGACGGCTCCTGAGTTATCGGCCGGTGAATGTCTCCGACATCCTCGACCCGGGCGATCCACGCACCTCCACCGGCCATTTACACGCCATCGACGAGGCGTACCGCCATACAGGCCTGTTACAGCTGTACCGCGTGTTTCCGGATCTGCTGGCAGAGCGATACAGCCCGTGGAAGGCAGAGGAGATTCTCTGGGCACGTCCGGCCACCAAACAGCCGTCCCGGACGGAACAGGATGTCTGGCGGACGAAACTTGCCATCTACATCTTAGACATCCTGCGAGAGATCCCCTTTGAGTCCGGGACGCGCTGCTTACAGCCGTTTATCCTTGTCGCTGTCGCCAGCGAGCTGCGCTGTGTCTATACAGAGAACCGGGTGGACGATGACATGATCGCCATTGCACAGGCCCGACGGTTCGTCAGCTCGCGACTATCTGCCTATACGCACATCCTGCCCTTGCGAAAGGTGCGGAAGATGATCGAGCTGGTGGATTCTATTTGGTCGGCGCTGGATTCGGGGCAACAGGACGTCTACTGGATGGACATTGCGGATCAGAAACAGCTGCGGACATTATTGGGTTAGTTTATATATATTTATTATAAATAGTATTCAGTATTCAAGAATGACTATTGTAAAAGATATAATAGTACTTAATGAACCCAACCCTAACCCTAACCCAATGTTATATGTTATCTTAGGACAATCAAATACTATAAGAAGATAGACTATTGGTATGAATATTGATAGCTAACTAACATCTAATTAAATAGGTCCATAAGAAGAGCTTGTGAATATTAAAGATGTGCAGTACCAGGAGCATAGGCAGCAAACTTCTCTATAATGCGCTCCGTCAACATATCCTCCTTGAATCGCTTCTCGCTCACCACAAAGCATTTTGGAAACCAGCTGGGCACTCCCTCGCCCACAATCATCTTCACCAACGCCTCCCCAGACAGCCACGCCTTGTCCATCCCGTACCCATTATACGCCCCCGACATCCACTCTGCCCCCCCCGGCCTGCCGGTGATGCACTCTGGGAGACGACCGACCAGGGGCAGTCCGTCGGCCGTGTAGCTCATGATCCCGCTCCAGATCCCCTTCATCTCAGGCCTCTCCTGCGGCGACCAGCCCTTGTCGAAATAGGTGGGGAGGAAGTCCTGCAGGATTCTCCTGGCATCCTCGGTCACATATGTGTCGTCTGTAGTCAGAACGTCGAAGAGATTCGATGTCTCCGTGCCCGCCCAGAGATCCCCCGTCCGGGCGTTCTGCTGCAGATACACCAGCCCCGTACGCAGCAGGGCAGTCGTTGGATCCAGCTCCATCCGCCGCAGCATACTCCATGATCGAGAGGCGCCTACATTCTCCAGCGAGGAGCCTGCCTTTTGCACCGACATGGTCCCGCGGAAGGGGTACACCTTGCCTCGCAGCCGGGGGAGGAGATGCGCCGCAAAGGCGTTTGTGCAGTGGACAACCTGCCGGGCATGGATCACCCCGCGGGGAGTCGTCACAGCGTAGGGATAGGGACTGTTCCCGGTGAAGGCGATGGCTGTTACGGGCGTGTTGGTCTCGATGGCCAGGCGGGAGGGATATTTCTTGAGCAGCTGCTCGAAGATCCCAGTGATGAGTCGGTACGGCCACACAGCCCCGGCAGGGTGTGCAATCGCCCCAAAGGCATCCTTGATGTTCCAGTCCCTCAACACTGCCTCGGGAGTGATGGTCTCATGGTATGTCTTGTACTCCGGCACTGCCTGGCGAAAGGCCGCCAGCGAAGCCCGCGACTTGGCCCAGGTATCGGCATCCCCGGCAACCATGATCTTGTGCAGGTCGCGTATCTCGCTGGCCTCTTGGAGCGCCGGATCCAGTTCGCGGATCATCTCCATGACCTTGTCGATGTTCCGGATGCTGAACCGCGCCATTTCTTGCGCGTTGTCCTCCCCGAACCGTTCCACAAATTCCGAGTATGTGTGGCCTACGGGGGTGACCAGATGGCCGCCATTGCGTCCTGTCGCGCCGCTGACCAGCGTGCGTGCCTCGAGGACAGTGATGTGGGCTCCCGGCACATTCTGACTCTCTAATAACCCCTTGGCCACGCTGCACCCGGTGATGCCGGATCCGATGATGGCAAAGTCTGTCTGCGGCGGGAGGGTGTCCGACTGGATGCTGGCTACCGTTGGATGCGCCGGTTCCTGCCATAGAGCGATGGTCGGATTGGGCCTGGGTAATTGCGGATCGGCCATGATGGCCTCACGCATCCGGGCGAGGAGACCGGGGGGGAGATCTTTCATTAGCATCTAATCTAGAAGAATTGGCTTGAACTCACTCTTTGTATTCTTGCTTGGGGCCATTGATGTGTTCTTGGTCTACGAATTCTATGGGATGTTCTTGGTTCATATGTTCTCGGTTCATTGGAGATCATTATAAGCAGTCTGCGGACCGAGTTTCCTGTTTGGGCGGTCAGAAATGGCAATGCTGTACGGCTTACAAGATACTAGATAACTTGATAAGTGGTACTTATTAAATTCCTTGATTCCAGTCAGATATATAGAATAATGTTTAAGGTAAATACAACGTAAATATAAGATAAAGAAAGACAAATCATATTACCTCTTTTTCTATTTCTAATCATTCTACATCTACTAATTTTACTCCATTATCATAGGGTAAGGCTTTTTTCAAAGTCCATTCAGGATTCTTAAATCACTGTTGCTGATAACACTGGTTTACTACTAGTCAGCCTGTAGATAAGTAATGAGAGTTAGTATAGGCCTGCCTAATTGGATTCTCTTGTTAGATAACGTGGTGTTTAAAAATATCTACTTCCCCAGATTCTCCCGTCCTTATGCTATATCATTACATCCTTTTCTATACTGCAAAAACTATGACTGTATCAAAAGTCAGAGATGCTGCCAAAGCAGACGCTGACGAAAAAGGGCCAGACCCTGCCCCCGGCATGGGCGACATCGAGGAACTCCCCCGCAACTTCGGCCTGCTCAGCGTCTTTGCCATCGGATACTCCATCTGCGCCGCCCCCTGCGCCCTGCTACTCTCTCTCGGTGTTATCATCGGCAGCGGCGGCCAGGCAGTCCTTCTCTGGGGCCAGCTGCTGGTATACTTTGTCTCGCTGTGCATTGCGGCCAGCCTGGCTGAACTGGCCTCAGCCTACCCCAACGCCGGGGGCCAGTACTACTGGGCTGCAGTGCTGGCTCCTAAATCTTGCCGGCGCCTCCCTGCCTTTATCGTGGGCCATCTCAGCTGGGCATCGGCAGTCTGCGCCTGTGCCTCCATGTTGGTCGCCCTGGCCGAGATGGGAATCGCCATGTTCAGCTTGAGGCATCCCGACGCTGCTACACCTACCTGGGTCACATTCCTGGTCTATCAGCTCATTAATATCGTCATGTTTGGCTTGAATTGCTGGGAGTCTTTACTGCCACGCCTTAGCCGTATATGGTTGACTATCTCAATGGCCACGGCGTTGATCATTTTCATTACTATTCTTGCCAGGACAAATGATAAACGATCTGCCTCCTTTGTGTTTACTGGCTTCACCAACCTCACTGGCTGGTCTGACGGCATCGCCTTTCTCACAGGTCTATTGGGAGTCAACTGGGGACTGTCCTGTCTCGATGCCGTCACCCATATGGCTGAAGAGATCCCTGATCCCCGCCGCAACATCCCCAAAGCCCTAATCGGCACAGTTGTTGTGAACGCTCTGCTGGCGTGGCCCATGGCTATCGCCATCGCCTTTTGCATCCAGAACATAGAACAGCTGTTCGCCCCGCCGACTGGTCTCGCCTCATTGTCTCTATTCCTGCAGGTTTTCAAGGGCAGCACTGCCGCACCACTTGCTCTCCAAGCACTCTTGTTTCTCGGCGGTTTAGGTGCAGTGTTTGGCATTCACACCTGGCAGGCTCGGTTGGCATGGACTGTCGCCCGTGATGGGGGCCTCCCATTTGCCAAATACACCAAATCCATCGCCCCGGCCCCTTATGGCGTTCCCTTTTGGGCGCACGTCTATTCATCCATATTTGCGGCCCTGCTCGGATGCCTGTATCTTGGATCCAGTGCGGCGTTCAACGCCTTTGTCGGCAGTTTGATCCTCATGCAGTATCTCTGCTACTCCATCTGCATTGTCTTTGCCCTCTGGCGCGGCCGTGACAATATCCCGCGCGGACCCTTCTGGTTGGGAAAATATGGTCTCGTTTGTAACATCGTCACCCTTGCGTGGACTGCCTTTGCCTTGGTGTTCTACTCATTCCCGCCCTATAATCCTGTCACAGCAATGTCGATGAACTATGCCTCGGTCGTGACTGTCGGCTTTGCAGTGCTCATTGCTGCCTTTTATCTCCTTTTTGGTCATAAGCGCTTTGCTAGTCCTGCGCAGATTGATGAATAGATCAATGCTATGCTGGCTGTATTACAGTTGAGATGTTATATGCTATGACTATTATTATAGGTGATTGTATAATAGATATAAAAAAGATAGGTCACCTCGGATATTATTCTAGGTGGAGCTGTATTCATGAAGTACTAGCCCATCCCACATTAAACAAGATAGTGCTGGATATATTTTTAGTTTGTTTCAATTAAACATATAGTTATATAGTTCTTGCTCTATCTATTAATACTATACTCATCTGTCAGCTGCCAGTCCCTAGCCTTTGAGACCACTTACTATTTCATATCTTTCTACGCCTATAATATGATGAATTAATGTCCTTTAAGTATTGGCGTATCTCTGTGTCTGAAGAATTTTGTAGTAGACTGGTATATGTTAAAGAAATTATTCAGATAAATGGCTAGAGAGTTAAACCCTAAACCCTAAGGTACTATACTTGGGTGTAGTACTACTTTTATTAGGAATAAGGTTAATATTCCATTCTTAGCAACACAAGTTTTAGATGAACCCCGTGATGAACCCTAACCCTACACCTCTTTAGATACAGGTAGAGAAGTGGTGCTAAACTTTTATGAAGCCACCTTAGCTTCATATAAAGTATCAATCTCTGCAAAAGACTTGCCATTTTTTCCCGGGAAATAATACCAACCGCCCAGCCCACAGAAAGCCAGGATGCCGATCTTACCTCCTAGATTGGCCTCATTTGGATTGACCAGGTAAGGCAGGATAAAGGCCCAAGTCATACCGGCAACACCAGTGACCACAGTTCCCAGTGCCTGTGTGTGAGCCCGCAATGACAACTGCGCGACTTCAGTGAGTAGCACCTAGGCTAAGATACTTACCATAACCTGGTAGAAAAAGTTCTAGATCGCCATAAACATGACAATGCTCCAGATGGCTTCAGCAGTGAGGATAACAGCTAGAATACTGATAAGCAGCATCACGACAGACACGAAAACAGTGCCTTCTCGGAGTAATAAGTATATATTTAAGGTCTATAAGTGGGATACGGGCCTCTTCATGTCTCCCCCTCCAGTGTCGCTGCATCCGCTTCGAGCTGGCACAGAGATATACCCACTCGACCACGGTACATCTCCGCCCTCTATCAACAGGCGGCTCGGTGGGTTCAGGTAGGGGAACCCCGTCAGGTTTAAGCAGATTGAGCTTTTCAACAGTCTGAAGCAGCTCTTGCCGGTCATTCTGGTAGACCTTAGAAGAATAAATCATAATTGTGGTTGATGAATTGATAGAGAGAATATTATATAGTTTAGAACACTATATTATTAAGTTTCTTAATAATTCATAACTAACCTGATTATATCACTAACTATAGTTTAGATATAGATATAATATGTTCTAAGTTAATAAAGTAAATTAACTACTATACTGTCATCCTTAGGTGGAATGTTGCCAGTAAGGTATACTAAGTTAGTAGTAATATAACCCATTTTAAAAGAGAGACTATGCCATTAGTATATTAATTATAGTATATAACTTATATTATCATTCTTATCTTCCCCTTTAATTTAGCACGCCATCAGCCTGGTCAGTGGTCAGTCTTGAGACGGTGCCTTTGCTTTATATACAGTGCTCCAAGCCCGGAAAGCCGCCATTCTACCGGCCCTATTCTTTTCTCTCGGGTCCATTCCCGGGCCAACCACCTTCGATTCTTATTTTCTATTCCTCTATCATCCACTGAGTAATGGATCATAGACCATAAAATATACACCATACTCTGTAGAGCAGCCAAACTTTGAGATATCCTGAATAATCCGATCCACCTCCTGAAATCCCAGTCTCTTGTAAACGCCATGTCCTGCTTTGTAGGCCAAAATAAAGATCGGAAGGCCCAGGCGATTTGCTTGCTGGATGCCACTCTCCACCAAAGCACTCGCAATGCCTTTGCCTTTGTTGTTCGGATGAACAGCCAGATAATCAAGTTCTACGATTAGAATTTGTCAGAATGGTGCTCTCCAGTGCTCTCCAAAGACTCACTTATATGTGGTTTCTCCGCTAATATGCGAGTGCTGATCCGATGGGCCTCTTCATCTAGGCTATCCATGTCGCTTCTTGGTTCCCACCATGCGGATTCTGCCAGTTGCTGTATCTGTTTCTTCTCCTCCTCACCCACTACCGGTACCCGGGCTTCAGGCCATTCATCGTCCGCGCAAGTAGAAGGGAGTTTCCATCGCGCGTATCCAACAAGCGCGCCAGTGGCAGGATCGACTGCCTTCTGATGCCGCATGTCCTCAGGGGACCGCAAAAGGTTATTCCCTTGACGTATGCCGGACTGCTCGATCAAGTATTCCAGTGTAATCTCATCTGGCCATAGAATCCTCCATGTCGGGTCCTCCCAAAAGGCAGAAATGTTGTTTTGTGCCAGAGCAGCGGCGTCCTCGACGCTACAAGACTCGATTTTCCACTTTGCCATTTGGAATTTTAGAAAAAGCCGAATGATGAAAGGTCAAATGATGAATAGTTGGGATTGTGAACAGTTCATATACTAGCGGACACCGACGGATGGCCCCCAAAATATAACTAATGTGATATTCTGTCTAATTTAATTGGCTATAATAGAGACGATATCTTTTCTTATCGCTGCGGGGTACAGCTTGGTATCTTACTTGCTATCATTCTTTTCATATTATATTAGAGTCATATATGACTTTAAGAGTACTACTACTATGGTTCAGTGAGACTCCGAGTATCTATATCACCACTAGTATGGGTATATTCAAGCCTGCAGAAATTTTCTCGACTCATCAGTCCCAAGATCAACGGACTATTATTTCTTTATCCAAATGATCCATCCTTGCAGACGATATATAATTACATTAGATTGATATACTCATGTATTATGTGGCTATTCCCGCTAGAATCTACGATACTTATCCATACCGAGACAGCGAGACAACTGCACCCAGTAGATGGAATGAGACAGATGAGGCTTAGAGGGTGCGTCTTTAAACATCTATATATGCTTAAGCTGACCAGATAGACATCTGATCAATAGAGACCTCAATATACTGTATTTCGACGAGTATCTACATCATTTATTTATTAAAAAAAGAACATGCCAAATGCTATTCGCTAGGCCTAACAACTTCGATTTCGTTTAGAACTGCTCTGTAAAACATACAAATAGCCCGCCACAGGTTGCAAGCTACTTAATACTCATGTTCATACTCATACATCCATCACAAGAAAAGGAAATTCCATATATACTGTAGCCTTCTACCTGATACTTCACAATCTATACGCCCTCGATCTTGGGGTCGGCATTCGGGTCGTCAAGGCTGACCTTGATGTAGTCTGTCTCATGCACAGCCTGCAGGCCGAGGATCATAGTGATGCCCATAGCAGCCATTTCCTCCAGCACATCCATAACCAGGTAGACAGTGGTGTTGCCGCTGATCACAGAGAAGGTACCGATGGTAGTGTAGTCGCCCAGCGCCGAATAGGCCAGTCGGACCGCCAGGAAGGGGGTCGAAAGAGCGATGGCAAGGAAGAGCTTCTTCTGGAACTTCTTCATGGTGAAGGAGGAGCTGTGCAGGGTCCACAGCCAGACAGTGGTGAGCAGGAGGATGACGAAAACGGCAATATAAATCCCCATGGCACCCTTGACCATGGCGTCAGGCGTATAGTCTCCGCTGTTGGCGCTGCTAATACCTGAGATGCCGAGAATGAGACCAATAAAGCAGATGATGGTCAAGAGCTTGTGGTATCTAGGTTGGATTCTTTGCATCGTATCACTGGAAAACAATCATTAGTATATATATATATCGCACTCAATATGGTTATAATGTTTAGCTCACATTTGTCTCAGCAGTCCAACGTATGTTAAGAGTAGAGGCGTGAGGCCAATCAGCTCACACACCACTATGGCGACCTCAATATTGTATGTTTGCCATTTGAGCGCCAACATTGAGCAGATCCCGCCTGCGATCCGCAGCAGAGAGAGTGTAACGGGGAAACGCCAGATCTTGCTTCCAACCCTCCAGCCTGTCTGGTGCCAAATCATAACTGCAGCGACGAGGATAATTGGAAAGACAATGAGCTGGAAAACGGCGATGCCGTCACGGTAGGTGAAACTGCCCATTATGGTGTAGTGTGTTCAGATGCAAAGAAGAGAGACTTCAGTATTAAAGTGAAAATAAGATAGTAATAGGCAGTGAGGAAGATGCAATTGAAGTATGGTGTGATGGATCTGTGTGCTCTCTTCAAGACCAGAGAGTTGATCCATTATATATTCCAAGATTCTGATGGATTCTCTTTGCAGCAGCACAGCCCTACACCATGTCATTTACCTAATCAATACAGCACCATGATCTTCATTGGTATCACAAGCAGTGACTGGTGGAGCATCTCGACTGCCAGAAAGGGACTAGCGTGGGTGGAGGCGCAATGGCCAGTTATAGATAGCCCTCTGGCCCAGCCTCAGCCCTGGCTGTGTATGGAAAAAAGTAGACAATAAATTTAAGCTTCTAGATTTCTCCACAGTGAGTAATGAAATGATGGAGCTGTATTCCAAATTGGCTGATGGCAGAATGACACATGGCTCATGGAGTTGGGAATGACGTCTTTTAGCTTCTACTGGTTAGCAAGGCAAGTACAGTTTCTCTAAGACTGTATACTTTGTGTGATGATATACATACGGCCGTCGTCAACGGGCTATTATTGTATAGGAGCACTATATAGGAGATACAGAGTCTGATACACTATACTCCGTGGGTTGAGGGCTGTGCTAACCGCCCCCACTAGCTAAAATGATAGCAAAACACTTCAGCTTCAACCCTATTCCCCACAACGATCTTCAAGCACCAGGAATGAGGAGATTTTTTGGCGAGTGGGGGCCATTTATTACAAACCATGCAAAGCCTTCAGACAGACATCCTACCCCATATTATATCTAGTATCAAGTTAGATTTTTATAGGGTATAGCATAGAAGAGAATCTAGAAAGCTTTCCGGTAGGGATCCTGAGTAGAATGTATTTGCATTCTTACTATAAGACTCTCTAGATGATCTATGTGAAAGATGACTGCATCTAGGTAAATAAAGATCATATCTATGATTTCATTCTCCCTGTATACTGCATCCTACATAATTGATTACGTAGTGGCCCGAGGGGTTTAGTAACAACGTGGTTAATAATCCAGTATTAATAATAATAGTAAGCATATAGATATATAATATATTATAAATAGTATTTAAGCTAGTATTATAATTTATAAACTAGTTTTAAGGTTGTGGTATGGTTATAAAATAGTTATAATAGTTATAATATAGTTATAGTAAGGTTATAAAATAGTTATAAAAGATAATTAATAATAAAAAATTAATATAAA